CTCTCCCTTGCAAGTAAAACCTATCAAGCTGGGTTTACAGCAAAATTCTTTCCTTTATTTGGAGATGAGTAAAGATTTAGCTTTTACTTTGTGATAGATTTGGAGATAGAGGAGGAGGAAAGGGATACATTAATCTTTCAATCTACTTCACATAAACAGCACTGGGACTAAAGGCTAGGGTTACAGTTCTGCCAGGTCACCCAGTGACCATACATTGCCTAAAAGGATAGCTGTTGGGTTTCTCAGGTGTGATGTGGGCTTCAGTTCTTTTATATCCTGTGGGCTTGGTGTTTTAGAAGTATCTCTGAGGAAAATATAATTTTTTTTTTAACCTTGAGAATCCCTCTAACACAGATCAGCTTATCATTTGTGTCACTTTCAAACCATGTTATGTATGTTTTGTTTCTTCAATAGAATACTATCTTGTTTTATTTCATCTCTCCATAATTAAACCTTATTGTAAGTGAACAGAAGGAAAAGAGAATAATACATTTGTTAGAAGCATCTTCAATTGAGGTTTAATTAATTCCTGACCTGTGCTATCCTAATTATTACAGCTTCAGGTTTTTGTACAATACTTGCATTTAATTAAAACTTTTTCTATGCTAAGGTCCCTTCACCCTTGTTTGGAATTCAGCAGGACTTTGATTTATAAGTATCCCTTCCCCCTATTCAACTCAAAGTTCTGCCTCACATCAGGCCTTCTTTTGAGGAAGGTCTCTAACCACCCAGCTCCCTCTTCCCCAAATTATTACTTTACCTGGAGTCAGTACCATTAGGTTTAGTATGAATTACCCTCTGCAGAGCAAAGCTAACTTAATTATACTCTACCTGCCTTGAGGGTTCTGTGTCATACTTCTATTTATATATGGGTACCCATGTTTATTTCATAAGAGAAAGATCAGCCTTTTAAAACTTGCATTTCCTAAATTAACTCTGTAGTGTTTACATAGTGAGACTTGTCTCACGGGAGGCCTGCGTGACCCCGAGGAACTCACCAGTAATGGGTCTGGTGCAGGCGGCACACTTTTTGGCATAAAGATGGTTGTAGCAGTCCAGGCAGAATGGATAGTCGTCTTTGGACATAAACTCTTCTTCACAGAGCTCCTTCCGACAGCCACTACACAGAAAACACTCTTTATGCCACGGCTGGTCACGAAACGTTATCCCACCTGAAGTGATCACCTGGCAAAGGATCACAAAACAAGGCCGTGACCATGGAAACTCAGTTCAGACTTTTTGTGATTCTCTTCTGTGTCCAAGGGTGGTACTGCAGGCCACCCTATCACATTGTGTCAGGTTGTCTTTTCCCTGTGATTAAAAAAAAAATTAATCTGAGAAACAAAAGGCTATAGGTATTAAACAGAACTGGTGAGAAATAGCCTCATTTTTCTCATAAAATGGAACAGAAAAGAAGCAGGGCCAGAATGAACTCAGGAGGATGAAGAAGAAATAGGCCTTGATTCCTTTGCTCGTCTTTCTCTAACTTTCTTGTTGGTCTTCAAAGATCTGCCATTAGAACTAAGATATTTTCTTTGTTATGTTCTTACTTCCACATCTAACTCTTAAGGATCCTTTAAAAAAAAAAAGCTAATTTTCCAAATGTTTTATTCTAGCAGCAGCAACCCTGAAAGAAATTGATAAAAACCATCACCTGCTAATAATGACTGACATTTCTTAAGTGCTCCCCCCCCCCAGTCTTCAGTCCTGTGCGTAACATTTTCTTAACATTCTCAACATCCTGACACAGTAGGGACTCTTACACACTTTAGAAATCAGCAACTAGTGAGGGTTAGTTAGAATGAAGTCACTTGCTAGGGTCACACTGAGCTAGCATCTAAATCTGCACAGTCTGATCCACATCCCGTGCACTTAATCATGAACACAGTACTGAGGCAAGACTGCTTTGCACTCATAAGTAGTTGACAAGTCTTTGCTGAATGAATGAACAAACATCAAGGGAGAAAAATCTTCAGAAATCAATTCCAATCTTGTATCCAGCAACAATGGGGCTGCTGTAGGAAACTGCATAAGTTGTCAGCATTAGGGCAGGAAGTCATGAGTGTTGGTTGTACGTTGAACCTTAATGCACGACGTGCTAGTGTTCTGCAGAGATGCTCATTACTCTTTCATAAGATTTTTTTTTCCTAAACCAGTTTAATCTATGATTTCTAGTTTTTAAAAATCTGAGATATCTTCATTAATAATCAGATGAAAAAATATTAGACAGATCTTCTTGTGTAGCAATTGTTAAGTCATAGTGTCTTTCAAATCCATGGCGATTGAGCTCCTGGAGGGGCTGCGGAACCTGGGATGTGTTCCTGGAAACCTCTTACAATGACTGAAACAATGTGATGTCTGAGATGGTTCCTGTCATCTTTGTATTCAGCTTAATTAGCTACAGAAAATGTAGAATCTATTCTAAACCACCTTATTGTTGGCAAATTAAAAAATATTTGTCTAAGCTGTAAGCTTTTGAAAAGATTATTCTAAAAATATTTTAAAATCTTACTGTGATTATCTTAAAAATTAAAGGTATTTGATAGAAGTGTTTATTTTTTGTAAAGGAGAAAAAGTTTACTGTTCTAAATAAGTAAATGGGAAACATAATGGTATGTATGAACTAAAGCAATTTAAATACCCTCTACTGACATCAAATGTCTTACAGTGGGCACAGCTGAATTCAAGATTTCTTTGATTTGCTTGGTCAAATGATTAGCAGGTGATGCTTAAAAGATTCCAAACATGAAAAATGTATTCACGGTGAAATAAAATTGATGGACACACCAAAGATTGTTTAGTTAGAAGAAACTCTGGAACGTTAAAAATAGCGTGCTTGTGATTACATTCCTTTTGAAGAGGCAGACGGGCTGCGAAGTCTAATATCCAAGCTTGGTTTTTGCCACTGATTGATCCTAGGATTTAGAACAAGTTTCTTCTCTGGCGAAGTGGAGGCAATAATGATTTTGCACGCAGTGAATGACAGCCAATGAAACACAAAATATTCTATGTGAGACTTGTGGAGTTTGAGTTCACAGCCCTATAGTTTGAGGGTTGCTTGCTTTTTAGTAGAAAATAAATCTTAGTTTCACAACATAAAACCTCTGAAAAAAATTCTGTGGGCCTGGTTGTCAAGCAGTTTTGCTTGTTTTCTTTTGTTTTATATTTGGTCTTTGGCTTGGGTTGAAACAAATTGTTTTTCTTCAGTTGGATCATCTTAATCAAAAATATTTATATCCAGCTTTCCTTAAAGGACTTGTGGTTTTAAAAAATTAAATAGATCACCACATGCCAGATTATTTTCTATCTTCTACCCAATATAAACATTTTGTAAATTTTTTGGTGACTTCAAATCATGTCCTAAATATAGGGTAGGCTCCTGTAACCTGGGAAATGCCCAGTACTTCGCCCCAGACAGAGCTCCACGCTGATGTACTAGAGAAGTTCCCTTGAATCTTTACAGCACTGAAAAAAACTTTATATTATATGCCCACCAAATGATTTTAAGATAATTTCCACAAGTCTCATTAATATTTTAATGTAAGTCCTTAGGAAACATAGCCTAAAAATGGCCAACTTAGTTGGCCCTCAAAACTCTGAGCTAAATCTTTCCATTTTATTTCCAGCCTCTGTTTCTAAATGCGTGTCAGTGACTGATGATTTTTCAGAGGTTCATCTGTCCCAGGGTCATAGGCTCTGACTGTTTCTTGTAAAGTCTTTTTCTGAGTCAGTGTTTGTGACAGAGTAATGGAAGTCTCTGTGTACAAGATGATTTTCTGTCATGTTACTATCAATTGAAATTTTCAGCTGCCATTAGAGTATAATTTCATAATCCTGACTTAGGAGTTTATTGATGTCTCCTCAAATGCAACACTAGTATTTTAAATATATGTAGAAAATTACTGTGCTTGGGCATGTGTATGCACATGTGCATGTGTGTTTGTAGACGCCTTTGTAGAAAGTGGTAGTGAGTCTTCCAGCTGTCCAGATGCAAGTATACAAATCACCTTAAGTAGAAAGTAGCCCATAGATCAAAAATGTTTAGAAACCATTATCCTAATCCAATAGGTTTCCATGATTCAGCTTTTTCATCACAATTTATAGGGTTATTTAAACTTATGATGCCTCACAGGTCAAGGATTTTTTTGAGAATATCAATATCTATTTTATGGACTGTAGGCAGGTTTTATCAAGGTGATAGAGATGAGTGACTTTTTCACATAAAAGCTTAGAGGGTAAAAAGACTCGGACAAAGTTTACTTGAAAAAAAAGGACTTTTTTCCTATTGGAAAATAAGTTTTGAATGGGTATCACGTTAAAGGCCCTACATGGCACTCTGGCCCTGGAAGTGAAGGAGACCACTTGCAGCTCTACTTTCTGTCTGTCTGTCTTTTTTTCTTTTTTTAAATATTTTTCTTTTTTTTAAGTTCTGTTTTTTTTTTGTTGTTGTTGTTGTTTTGGGGGTGAGGGTAATTAGGTTTATTTATTTATTTTTAGAGGAGGTACTGGGGATTGAACCCAGGACCTCATGCATACTAAGCATGCACTCTGCCATTTGAGCTATACCCTACCCCCTACTTCCTGTCTTTCTAAAGAAGTTTCTTAATGATCTTTTCACTCTCTTGGGCCTATCTGTCTTCTAAACTTTAGAAATATAAAAGCTTCAGGCCAAGAACACATTTGTGTTGCTGGGACATAATGTGAGAGGTAAATATCCTTTTAAAATTGGTTCCCTTAGTCATTCTGAGACAAATCCGTATTTCCCTGAAATTAAACAGATCAAAAATTATTTTCTAAGAAATATTCTGTATTCAAAGAGAGACGTGTGCCCTCTCCCAGAATACATGAAATCTTTCATTAACAGCAGTGAATGGAACTGAAATATCAAATCACTTGATTTTGGAATATTAAGTTCATGTTCTGTGGAATTTTATGTTGATAAAATAGACGGCCATCCTCACTTCGACAGGTAGGGCTTTTGAACATGATGGAATTCAAAACTGACATGAATGTGTAAAGACAGGTATAACACAATAGTATCAGTTCATTCCAAATACCTAGTGCAGCTAAAATGCAATGGTCTGGAAGGTTCTACAAGCTTTATCCTCTTTAGATAATTACCTTCTTACAAAAGCTGCAGTAGTGAGCAAACTTCCTCTCAAAACAGGGCACACAATAGTTGCCACTCTCTTTGGAAATCAAAGGTTTTCTTCCTATCGGCTGTCGGCAGTGCTCACACAAAAAGCAGGTTTCATGCCAGTAGTTCCCCTTAAATTCCATTTTGCGGGAACCTGTACCCCAAAAGTAAGAACCTGTTAGTCAAAACCAAACATAGTTATGTTTTCTCTTAAGCAAAAATGCATCAAGTCAGAGCACTTATAATACATATTAAAGTTAAGGCGATTGACTAATTATTCTTATAGAAAAAGTGTTTTGTTTCTAAAACATTTATCTGGAAAAAAAAAAAGAGGTAATTAGAGTTCAGCCATGATGATGGTGAATCATTCTTTCACCGAAAACTTTTGTGCTGCGTAAGCTACAGTTTTGAGATGTGAAAATGCTATAATGCTGCACGTGATTTAGGTAAATTGGGCCTTGCCAGCCATTACAGGGACATTAGGAAATCCCAGGACACAAACGCTCGAGACTGATGTTGTGCAGTTACAGTCTCCCAGAAAATCTTTGTATCTCTAATAAGAAAATGAGAAAGAATTGTGTCCTTAGACTGCTGTCCTTAGACACTGAGAAAAAAATCAAAACAGAGAATTAGTACTCACCGAAAAGTGTAGAAATTTACATGGATTCTTGTCTTCACTAAGAGAAAATAAAGATGACTAACTCTCAGACCAGTTTGGGTCAAGCTGCAGGATGATGGTTGGCCCCATTCTCCTATGATGGATTATGCTTTCTGATACCATTGGTTATGCCTCGGACAGGGTGTTTAATGCAGGGCTAGCATTGTTGGTATAGATCGTGTCTTTATTCCATGGCTCAGATTCTGGTTTTAAATGTTTCTATGAACTAGATTTATAAAAATACACAGAACCCAGTAATTTACTCGTTGAAGACATAAAGAATAATCTATTTATTTCTGAAGTATCCCAAATGAGATAAAGAGATAGCAAGAATGATGCCTTTCTCAGAAGCAGGGATTTGTACCCTAGTCCTCCTTTATCTGTGGAGGGAGGTACTTTTGAAGACCCCCAGTGGATGCGTGAAACTGCAGATAATACCAAACTCTGTATACACTGTTTTTTCTTATACATACAGATCTATGATAAAGGTTAATTTATAAATTAGGCATCATAAGAGATTAAAAATAGTAATAATAAAATAGAACAACTGCAACAAAGTACTGTAATAAAGTTGTGTGAATGTGGTCTCTCTATCGCAAAATATCTTACTCTACAAATTTAATGCCTTCTTTTCCATGTTAACTAAGCACTTATCCTGCTCCGTGGCCGTAACTTTTGCAGTGTGAGGTGTGACAGCAAAACTGGCAGGAACTTATTTTTTCTTCTTCACAATTTCATGGATGGAAAATTCATTCTTCCATTAGATCTTAGCAACCTCAGCATACAATTTCTTTTCTTTCATTATTAAGTCGAGAATTTTCACTTCTTCATCTAAAAGAAGCACTTTACGGCTTTTCTTTGGCATATCTGAACTGCCAGCATCACCACTCTTCCTCTCTGGGGCCATTATTAAATTAAGTACAGCTTTCTAGAGCACAGGCACTGTGACAGCGCAACAGTCTGATCTGCTATCTGAGAGCGCTCCTAAGGGTCTGCCAGGCAGGATACTCTGGACAAAGGGATGATTCACGTCCCGGGTGGGACAGAGTGGGATGGTTTGAGATTTCATCACACTGCTCAGAACAGTGCACAAGTTAAAACTTATGAAATGTTTATTTCTGGAATTTTCCATGTAATATTTTCGGACTGAGGTTGACCTTGGGTAACTGCAACCGTGGAAAGTGAAACCATGGGTAAGGCGGACTATTGCACTACGCTCTTCCTGTGCTTGGGTTTAATTCAAAGTACTGCAGCTTCAGCTCTAGACCAGAACTCCCTGTAACCTTACCAGGCATGATGGTCTTCTTGCAGTGGAAGCACTTGGAGGAGCACTCGTTAGAATAGCACTCTGAGCACAGCAGGCGCTCATCCTTGGCAACAAAAGGCTTTTCTACCAAAGAGTGATTGCATTTGGCACAGTTGAAGCATCCTTCATGCCAGTGACGGCCTTTGTAACAAAGATCCTTCGAGACAGTAAATAAAAGTTAATTAAAAGTATTTGCAACCAAACAGTCCATTTTATAAGACAAAACTCAACACTCCTGGGACTCTGGTGCCAGTAGTTTGTGTTGGTAGCTCGAGGGAATGTTGTTACTGATATTCTTGCCCAGAGAGAGGAGACGCTGGGGCAATTAAGAGCTAGAGCCTGGGGCTTCTCTGGTTGATCACCAAAGACAGATGGAAAATAAGTGGACCCTCCCCTATTTCTTCAAATTTCCTCTACTTTCCTTTTATAAATTATGAGAGATTATGGAATGATTTTTATTTTTAGGTTGTAATATCCTATTACTGTTTGAGATTTAACTAAACAAAATCTCAACACTACTTAACTAAAACAAAGGCAAAAAGAAGAGGAAGGAGAAAGATACAATAATGTACACTGTGAGAAGAACAGGCTGTTATGTGTGGGAGGGATCAGGGTGCACAGCATTTAGTGGAGACGAGGCTGATTTGAAGTCAGAAAATAGAGATTTTTGAATCTTTATATCTTCAATTATTTAATTGTTTTTATTCACTTGTATTCTTGTCATTCCAGAAATCATTCAACATTTTTTTAATTCTTTTTTTTTTATTGAATGTAGTCAGTTCACAATGTTAGCTTCAGGTGTACAGCAAAGTGATTCAATTATACATATACATACATACGTATTTTTTTTTTCAGTTTCTTTTCCATCATGGCTCATTACAAGAAATTGAATATAGTTCCCTGGGCTGTACAGTAGGTCCTTGTTGTTTATCTATTTTATATATAGTAATGAGAAATCACTCAACATTTTAACTGTGAAACTTTGGGCAAAAAAACTTAACCTCTTTAATCTTTAGCACCCTAAATTATCTCCTAAAATCATTGTGAGGGTTAAAGTATATCTTATATTTCACTGTACCTAAGCATACTGCCTGGAACTTGATTGATGGTGGCTTTGAAAATTCTTAAGTCCAATAGCAGAGCAATAGAGTATAAACAGTCAACACTAAAGAAAAAGCATTCCAAAGCATTTGTCTGCTATTCATGTGCAATAATTCTGTGAATTGAGGTAACACCTACCTTGGAATCTGATTCAATTGGTTCTTTGCACTCCTCACAATAGTTAGAAAATACACGATCATAACATGAAACACAGTATGGATTGTCATCCTTTAGTACATATTTCTTCCCAAGAAGTGATGCTGTGCAGTATTGACAATCAAATTGAGCAGTTGTCATTTTGGTTTAATCCTGTGGATAAAAAAATGATTTCATGCATATAAAGGCAAACATTTTTTGATAAGAAAAATTATAAAGTCTCAATAAATATAAATAGGAGTCAAGCCCCTGAATGGACTTAGTTTCTTATGTGAAAATCCACCAATTTGCGAAATAGGTTGTAGTCATGGTGATACTTGGAGTGATTCAGGAAAGGCTGCTCTCTCATCTTGGCAA